ATAGCCGATCCAAGACTAAATACATAACCTGTGGTGCTTTTCTTGTCTTCCGGAGAACCACCCCAATCGCTGTCCGAGTAGCCAACTAACGTTGGTGTCTCTATTCTTGTAAAGAATACTCCAAAGCTTAATGTTCCCTTGACGTATCTTAACACCCTTTTGGCTTCTTGATAATGCTTTATGCGTGGTGATGACATGTATCTTGATAAATAAGAGCTTGCATACATCACATCAGGTCTTGATGCACACAAATAGAGCAATCCTCCAACAAGGCTCCGGTACTTAGTTGGATCACCAAATTCTTTGTCGTCACCTTCTACTCCTTTTCTTTTTCCTTGTGGTATAAGTGGAGTGTTCACACTCTTGCTTTCTTTCATTCCAAACTTATCAATAAGTTTGTTTGCATATTTTTCTTGTGAAAGAAAAATGCCACGATCATCTTGGTTTACTTCCATTCCAAGAAAGTAATTTAGCAAACCAAGATCCGTCATCTCGAACTCGTCCTTCATGTTCTTCTTGAATGTGTTGATGAGATGAGTGCTGCTTCCAGTGATGATGAGATCATCGACGTATAAGCTAACAATCAACACGTCTACACCTTTCTTCTTGATGTACAAAGCCGCATCATTCATACTTCTTTCAAAACCACTTTGAATGAAATAAGAATCTATTCTTCCATACCATGCTCGTGGGGCTTGTTTAAGACCATATAAAGCTTTGTAAAGCCTTAACACCTTTTCTTCTTTGCCTTTTATCACAAACCCAGGTGGTTGTGTGACATAAACTTCTTCTTCAAGCTCTCCGTTTAGAAACGCTGACTTCACATCCATTTGATACAGTCTCCACTCCATTTGAGCCGCATACGCAAGTAAGGCTCGTATTGTATCATATCTTGAGACAGGGGCGAATGTCTCAAGGTAATTGATACCATATTCTTGAGAAAAACCTCTTGCAACTAGTCTTGCCTTGTGTTTGATGTGATTTCCGCTTGCGTCTGTCTTGATCTTATAGATCCACTTCACGCTTATCACATTCTTCTTCTCTGGTTTGTTTACTAGTTGCCACGTTCTGTTTTTCTCGATCATCTTTATCTCCTCATTCATGGCTTTTTCCCATTCTTCATTACCACAAGCTTCATCGTAAGTTTGTGGCTCTTCATTTGCAACGAGACAAGCTTCTATGACTTCAGCCGCTTCCTCAATGTCCACCCTTGGTGCTACTCTCATGATCTCTTGCATAGATCTGAATTTTTTTGTAGCTTCGGATCTCTCTCTTTGTGCATTAACATGCATAGATCCAAATTTGGCCGTTAACATTTCCATATCTTCTTCGGATGTCTCTCCTCTTCCATCACTTCTATCTTCATCATGATTATCTTCTTGAACCAAAAACGGACCAGTGGTGTTTCCGGTTTGAACTTGTGATGTTTGTGGATCGTTGATGGGTAGAACAAAGATCTTCTTTACTTCCTCTTGCTTGTTCCAATCCCACTTCTTATTTTCTTCAAACTCCACGTCTCTTGATACTTCAATCTTCTCATTCTCCAAGATAAGGACTCTATAGCCTTTGGATTGATTGCTATAGCCAATAAGAATTCCCTTCCTTGCCTTAGCGTCTAGCTTCTTCCTTTTTTGATCTGGAATATGCACGTAGCATATACTTCCAAACATCTTTAAGTGTGACACGTTTGGCTTGTGTCCACACCACTTCTCCATTGGCGTCATGTCATCTTCGATCGCTTTTGATGGTAAACGATTCTGTAGATAAGCAGAAGTATAGACCGCTTCTGCCCATAACTTGAGCGGTAATTCTTGCTCCACAAGCATTGTTCTTGCCATCTCCACCAATGATCTATTCTTGCGTTCTGCTGCACCATTTTGTTGTGGTGAGTAAGGCAAAGTCACTTGCCTATTGATTCCTTCTTCTTCACAAAATTGATTGAATTCTTGTGAAGTGAATTCACCACCTCCATCGGATCTCAACGTCTTGATGGTACAATTTGATTGTTTCTCCACCATCGCTTTGAATTTCTTAAACGTTGAGAACGTTTCAGACTTTTGTTTTAGGAAGTATACCCAACACATGTGAGTATAATCATCCAAAAACAGAACATAGTAACGGCTTCCATCGATCGATTGGTGTTGCATCGGTCCGCATACATCCGTATGCACAATCTCAAGCTTTTCTCTCGTCTTGGTTTGAGATTCTTTTGGAAAGCTCTTGCGTGATTGCTTCCCAAGGTTACATGCCTTACATGCTTCTTGTGTGACTTTAAAACTTGGTAATCCCTTTACCAAGTCCTTGTCTTGCATTTGTTGCAAACGCTTGCTGCTTACATGGCCAAGTCTCTTGTGCCATGTTTCTTCCATTTGCGTGTTTGCTGTCATGGCTTCTTCTTCCACCGAACTTAACTTGATCTTGAAGCTCTTGTTCGTCATCTGAATATTCATGATCTCCTTGCCTTTTGCATCTTGGATGATGCATCGTTTGTCTTGAAAACGTACTTGATAGCCGCTTGAGATGATTTGAGGAACACTTAGTAGGTTCTTCTCCAAACCAGGCACTAAGAAAACATTTTTGATGATTCTTTTGCCATTGCTTGTCATGACGGTAATATCTCCCTTACCGGCTGTCATGACTACTTCTCCATTTCCGACTTTGATCGGAACCTTGATACTTTTGTCAATCTTTGAAAAGTATCTTTCTTCTTTTGTCATATGGTTAGTGCATCCACTGTCTACCAACCAAATGTCTTCTCTTGTTGTTGTTATTGCATCTTCACTTGCACTAAACAACATGTGATCTTCATCACCTGAGTCTTCTTCTTCGAGACTTACATGTGCCCTCTCCTTTTTCTTTGAGCGACACTTATTTGCGTAGTGGCCGATCTTACCACAATTGTAACACTTGATGTTACTCTTCTGATTCTTGCCATGATCGTCTTTCTTCGGTTTGTTTCGACACTCTTCTTCTGTGTGACTGTTACTCTTGTGAAAACCACACCACTTCTTGCTTTGATTGACATGGCTGTTGGTGTTGTTTTGTTTAAAACCGGATTCTTTTCCTTTGGTACGAACATAGAATGCTCCCTCTTTTGTGCTTACTTCTCTTGCAGTAATTCTTGCTTCTTGTGCTTTTAAGATACCAAGAAGTTCTGACATTGTTAGTGCATCCAAATCACGAGTTTGCTCTAAGACACTAACAATGCTATCGAACTTAGCTGGGAGAGAGATGAGTATCTTCTGTATGAGTTGAGAGTTTGTTTTCTTTTCACCATGATACGTTAATTGATTTTCCAAAACAATTAACTTATCGGTGAATGTCTTGATGTCGTCATTGTCATACATCTTCAGGTTTTCGTACTCTCTACGCAGTGATTGAAGTTTAACCAGTCGGACTTGTGGAGAACCTTGGTATTCGTCCTTCAACACATCCCACACCTCTTTTGATGTTGATGCTGCTGCAATTCGTGAGAAGATTTGATCCGTTACGGCAGTTTGCAAAATTTGCAAAGCCATCGTATCATTCGCCGCTGCTTCTTCTCTGAGCGTCTTTGCTCTTGCAGTTTCAGGGGTTTCTTCCTCTTGCACCGGTTCAGCCGGCACGCCTTCGTCAACCACTGACCATAGTTTTCTGGTTCGGAATATGGTTGCCATCTTAATGCTCCAGAAGTCGTACTTCTCCCCATTGAATATAGGGATCACTTGATGTGAGGAGCCTTGCATCGTCTCGGCTTATTGCTAAGACGTATACGATCTCTCTTTGTTGCCTCTCTCTCCTTTTAGTGTTTCTCTCTTGTCCTCTCAATCGTATAGCTCTGATACCATGTTAATGTTTTGAGTTTTGTGTTTACGATAGTGAAAGAAAAAAACAGAGTATGAATGTAATTGACTTTATTGATCTGAAAACTTGATTGTATTACACTCTGTTGTATATGTAAAAAACAAAGACTCGATCTATACTTATATGAAACGAAACATTGTGTTTGTGTAATAATAAAAAGACATGACTCTTTGATCTAAAGACACAACTGTAAAACAAAACAACTTGTGTCTCTTGAACAAATAACTAACTTATGTAAATGTGATATGATACGAGATTTGATTATCCTTCAACAAAGCGTTGATCAATCAGACAACAAAAAGAAAGAGTAGAATTTGATTTGTGAAACTCACATAGCTAAGAAGGGTTTCCTCGTTCAAGTAAAACTCTGCGTTTCTCTTTCCAGAGATAACCTCAAGAACCAAGACTCCGAAACTGAAGACATCAGACTTTACAGAATATTTCCTGTCTATCACGTATTCCGGAGCCATGTAGCCGCTGCATAGCGAAACAGTAAACACATTTTTGTGAAACTTTAGCAGAATTATTCTATTTCCAAAACTGAAAATGTTGGCGGTGTTTTAAATGCTTACAAAGTTCCGATCATCTTCGTTGTACTAGCTTCTGTCTCATCTCTTTTAAAGAGCTTGACCATCCCGAAATCCGAGATCTTTGGGACCATATCTTTGTCAAGCAAGATGTTGCTCGGCTTCAAATCCCTGTGTAGGATCCGATACCGAGAATATTGGTGAAGATATAAAAGTCCCCGAGCAATACCATTGGTAATATCGAGTCTCTTCTCCCAATCTAGCTTAGAGCTTTGGGTTTTGTCTAGGCAACCAAATCAATTTAAATTTTATTTCCAAATAATAAGCATTCATATTTAATAAGCATTCATAAAGCTAGCTTGTAAAAACAAGTGAGGCACTAACCGAAAATATAAGTATCGAGACTTGAGTTTTCCAGGTATTCAAAGAGTAGTATCATTTCACCTCCCTCAAAGCAATATCCAACTAGTTTGACGAGGTTGATATGCTGAAAGCTCGCGATCAGTTTCAGCTCGGTGATGAATCCTTCGATCCCTTGAGCTGACCTCTTCAACAGCCTTTTAGCAGCGATTGCTTGCCCGTCAAGTAAAATACCCTGTTACCACGTACGTGTTTAATAAGTTACACGGAATCTATCTAGCCCAATGACAGATTTTGTATATATATAATATATTTTAGAGTGTTTTATAGTTTATACCTTGTACACAATACCGAAACCACCTTGTCCTATCTTGTTACAATCAGAAAACTTTTCTGTGGCATTGACAATATGTTCAAGGTCCATGGGTGCACATTGTAAACCCCCTATATGAATATGATGATCTTTTTTAAACTATTTTTCGATTCAAACAGAAGAAAAGAAGATAAAAATAAAAGAAACATCATAAGAATACCAATAGGTAGTGGTGCAATTACTCTTGTTGGCATCCTCTTCTTTCTTTTCCAAATGCAGAACAATATGAAAATGACACCCAGAAGAAGCACAATGCCGACTCCACCAATCAAGATAATGACTTTTGAACTCAATTTTCTTTTATTTTTCTTTACCTGTGCTGTCGCTAAAAACACAAGTAAAAGAACAGTTTTTAAATTTATATCACAAGTTACGATAGTCAGTTTTCCAATGATAATGTTCTACATTCTTTTTTCAAATCATCAAGAAACCATAAGAACTCATATGAAAAAAAAAAAACAGAGATAAATTTTGCTTACAGATATCAGTGGCTGCCAATCTGACAAAAAGATCTTGACCAGCAATCGCGTTCTTTCGGAGATCGAGGATTTCTTCCACCCAAATCACACAACCTGAACCACCGTTTTGCATGTCCGTGTTAGCATACGCAGTGCAATTACAATTCCCAATGCACTTGCCATGGCATTCCTTCAACCCAATACTCCTGTCCACAATAGACTTTGTAATATCAGGCAACTTCATTGTCCTGAGCTGCTCAAACCCATCCCTAGAGCAGTTCAACGGTGTCTTCCTCGTACAACCACCTGTCCAGTCGTGCAAATCCCATGCTTCTTTGTCTCTCGGCTGAAACCCATGGATGCAAACACAGTTTGGTGATGTGTTTGTGTCACACAGACCATAAGCTCCACATCTATTGTATAAACCGCATGTATCACGTGGTAAAAGACTATCCAATCGTTTCCACATTTGTTGTGGTTTTGGAATCCACGTATACCTCTTCAACACGCCGCTATAAGACATTCTCAATATTGAGAAGAAGGATTCATTGGTGATACTGAAGAAATAGGTGACCTCCTCTTTGGTCACGGTATTAATCAAAGAGATACTCTGCCTCAACCAGAAGCTCTGCTTTCTGCGTTTGGACCAGACAAGGCATTGGGCCTTTCTCAAAATATCAAGCCCAGCAAGCCCACAGTCGTTATCTCGTCCTCATCCTGCAACGGTAACAAATCCTCACAGTCAAACCGTACGACGGCTCCAGCTCATCTCCGTACAGGCGTCACAGCTCACAAAATACAATTGCACAACAGATTTGATTCGCTTTGTTCCCCTGTCGTGATGTGTGCTTAGTGACGTGTGACCTAGGAGTCTCTATTTTGGGTATTTCTATATAAACCCTTTCTTATCATTGTAATCCTTTAAGCAGAAATATTCAATAAAGATTTTCTCTTCATCCTTGTCTTATTAAGACTTTTATGGTATCAGAGCTTGGTCATCCATGGCTGACAACTCTGACTCTTCCGCTCTTCGTTTTTCTCATTGTGTTACCTTAAAGCTTTCTTCTTCCAACTATTTGTTATGGAAGATACAGTTTGAAACTTGGTTAAACAATCAAAAGTTACTCGGGTTCGTTAATGGAGGAAATCCATGCCCTAATGCTACAAGATCTGTTCGACATGGAGACGTGGTTACTGAGTCGCCAAATCCGGAGTTCCTTACTTGGGTTCAGAATGACCAGAAGATTATGGGTTGGCTTCTCGGTTCGTTGTCTGAGGATGCACTTCGTTCTGTCTACGGTCTACACACATCAAGAGAGGTATGGTTCTCTCTAGCTAAGAAATACAATCGAGTCTCAGCTTCTAGGAAAAGTGATTTGCAACGACGCTTAAACTCTGTTTCAAAGGAGGGCAAATCTATGGCTGAATACTTGAACAGTGTTAAGCAAATCTGTGATCAGCTTGATTCCATTGGTTGTCCTGTTCCTGAAAATGAAAAGATCTTTGGAGTTTTGAATGGTTTAGGTAAAGAATATGTTCCTGTTACCACTATGATAGAAGGCTCCATAGATACTTTTCCTATGTCTTTTGAAGATGCTGTCTTTAAGTTGATAAATTATGAAGACAAATTGCTTAAGTATTCAGAGGGTCCGGCTGTTTCACCACACTTGGCCTTTGCTTCTGATACAAACTACTCAAATCGGGGTCGTGGAGGACGTTCTGGTGGCTATCGTGGTCGAAACAACTATTCAACAAGGGGAAGAGGTTTCCATCAACAAATCTCTAATGGCTCTTCCTCTGATTCTGGAACCAGACCAACTTGTCAGATCTGTAACAAGTATGGTCATGCTGCTTATAAGTGTTACAAACGTTTTGACCATGCTTATCAGAGTGAAGATCCTAGTCAAGCTTTTGCTGCTATGCGTGTGTCAGATGCTCACTCAAATCCCTGGGTAACAGACTCTGGAGCCACTTCTCACATCACGAACTCCATTGCTCAACTTCAAGAAGCTCAGCCTTATAGTGGTGAAGACTCTGTGATTGTTGGTAATGGTGATTTTCTTCCTATAACACACATTGGTTCAGCAGTTCTCTCAGGTAATCAAGGTAATATACCTTTACGTGATGTTCTTGTTTGTCCAAATATCACCAAGTCTTTGTTATCTGTTTCAAAGCTTACTTCAGATTATCCTTGTGCAATTGAGTTTGATTCTGATGGTGTGGTTATAAAGGACAAACAGACAAGACAGCTCCTCACCAAAGGAGTCAGACATAATGATCTGTACCTGTTGGAGAATCCGCAGTTTATGGCTTGTTACTCTTCAAGACAACAAGCTACAAGTGATGAGGTGTGGCACATGAGGCTAGGTCATCCTCATCAAGATGTTCTTCAACAGCTTTCAAGGAATAAGGCCATAGTTGTTAATAAGACAAGCCACAGTTTGTGTGATGCTTGCCAAATGGGAAAGATTTGCAGGCTTCCCTTTGCTTCTTCTAATTTTGTTTCAAGTAGACCTCTAGAACGAATTCACTGTGACTTATGGGGACCTTCTCCGGTTGTATCTCCTCAGGGTTTTCGTTACTATGTAATCTTAATTGATCATTATTCAAGATTCACATGGTTTTATCCTCTGCGTCTCAAATCCGACTTCTACTCTGTGTTTTTAAGCTTCCAAAAGATGGTTGAGAATCAACTTCAACAGAAAATCTCTATGTTTCAGTGTGATGGAGGGGGTGAGTTCATCAACAAGCAGTTTGTGTCCCATTTAACAAGTTGTGGCATTAAACAACTCATTTCTTGTCCTTACACTCCTGAGCAAAATGGTTTAGCTGAAAGGAAGCATAGACACATTACAGAGTTGGGGTTATCTATGATGTTTCAAGCAAAGGTTCCTCATCATTTGTGGGTAGAAGCTTTCTACACATCCAATTACTTGTGTAATCTCTTACCTTCTTCAGTTTTGCCTGGTCAGAAGAGTCCTTATGAAGTTCTTCTTGGCAAGCCTCCTGTCTACACATCATTGCGTGTTTTTGGTTGTGCATGCTATCCAAATTTGAGACCGTATCAACACAACAAGTTTGATCCTAAGTCCCTTTTGTGTGTATTCACCGGGTACAATGAAAAGTATAAGGGTTACAGATGCTACCACCCTCCTACAGGCAAGGTATTTGTCAATAGACATGTTCTTTTTGATGAAACTAAGTTTCCTTTTGCAGATATATATAGAAACAAAGTCTCCTCTATAGAGTCTCCTCTACTCTCAGCTTGGCAATCTAGTTTTCAGCCTAGAGAAGACATCAATATCACATCATCTCAAGATTCTCAAGATTATGCAGTTTTTAACAATTTGCAGGAAGTAGAGTGTTCTAGAATTGTAAGAGAAGAAGGTACTGGGTGTACGGCAGACCTTGATTCTGTTCCTATAGGCAACAGCCTCCCTTCTCCTGCAATCTCTCAGAACACTACACTTCAGACTTCTCCTCCGGGTTCACCTGCAGTTTCAGAAAACTCCGTCCAATCAACAGAAGATTCGATTATCAGTGATAATGACTCTCCTATACATTCACCATTCCAACAAGAAGAGAATATTCAAGAACCTAGTCATCCTATGATTACCAGGGCTAAGGCAGGGATCATCAAGCCAAATCCAAAGTATGCCCTGTTCACTGTTAAAAGCAACTACCCTGAACCAAAAACAATTAAAACAGCCTTGAAGGATGAAGGATGGACTAGTGCTATGGGAGAAGAAGTTGAATCCTTTCATGAAACTCATACATGGGATTTAGTTCCTCCTGATCCAAATATTACTCCTTTGGGCTGCAGGTGGGTTTTTAAAACCAAATTAAAGGCAGATGGTTCTCTTGATCGATTGAAAGCTCGTTTGGTAGCAAAAGGCTATGAACAAGAAGAAGGGGTGGACTATATAGAGACTTATAGCCCTGTTGTTCGTGTAGCTACAGTAAGATCTATATTACATGTGGCAATACTTAACAAATGGGAAATTAAGCAACTCGATGTCAAGAATGCTTTTCTACATGGTGATTTAAAGGAGACAGTGTATATGTATCAACCTCCTGGTTTTGAGAATCAAGATAGACCAGACTATGTTTGCAAGTTAAACAAGGCAATCTATGGATTAAAACAGGCTCCAAGAGCTTGGTTTGATAAATTCAGCTCATATCTGCTTGAATTTGGCTTTACCTGCACCTACTCAGACCCATCTCTATTTGTATATGTGAAAGGTAAAGACCTAATGTTCCTCTTACTTTATGTTGATGATATGTTGCTTACAGGAAATAACAGTGAGCTCCTTAAAACTCTTCTTGCCTCACTCAACAAAGAGTTCAGAATGAAAGACTTGGGGCTGTTACACTATTTCCTTGGGATTCAAGCACATTATCACTCTGAAGGACTATTTTTACATCAAGAAAAATATGCCATTGATCTTTTGGTTGCAGCCGGAATGGCTGATTGTGCTCCTATGCCAACACCTCTACCACTGCAGCTAGATAAAGTCCCTGGACAACAAGAAATCTTTTCAGACCCTACATATTTTCGAAGCCTAGCCGGTAAACTTCAGTACCTTACTCTGACTCGTCCTGACATACAGTTTGCTGTTAATCTAGTCTGCCAGAAGATGCATTCACCGACTGTAGCTGACTTCAATCTTCTCAAACGTGTTCTGAGATATCTCAAGGGTACTGTACAAATGGGATTAAATCTTTCATCCAATACAGACAGCACAATGCGAGCCTACAGTGATAGTGACTGGGCTAACTGCAAAGAAACAAGAAGATCAGTTGGTGGTTTCTGTACTTTTCTAGGCACAAACATCATCAGTTGGTCTGCTAAACGACATCCTACTGTCTCAAGGTCTTCAACAGAAGCTGAGTACAGAACATTGTCTATTGCTGCAACTGAACTCAAATGGTTATCATCTTTACTTCGAGAAGCCGGAATCTCTCAACCTGACACGCCTGAACTGTACTGCGACAACCTTTCTGCAGTTTATCTTACTGCTAATCCTGCAATGCACAATCGATCTAAAGCCTTTGATGTGGATTTCCATTATGTTCGGGAACGTGTTGCCTTGGGAGCTCTGATCGTGAAACATGTACCTGCGGCTCAACAACTCGCAGATATTTTCACTAAGTCGCTACCTCAACAGCCTTTCTTTGACTTGCGTTACAAACTTGGCGTTGTCCTGCCTCCCACACCAAGTTTGAGGGGGTGTATTAATCAAAGAGATACTCTGCCTCAACCAGAAGCTCTGCTTTCTGCGTTTGGACCAGACAAGGCATTGGGCCTTTCTCAAAATATCAAGCCCAGCAAGCCCACAGTCGTTATCTCGTCCTCATCCTGCAACGGTAACAAATCCTCACAGTCAAACCGTACGACGGCTCCAGCTCATCTCCGTACAGGCGTCACAGCTCACAAAATACAATTGCACAACAGATTTGATTCGCTTTGTTCCCCTGTCGTGATGTGTGCTTAGTGACGTGTGACCTAGGAGTCTCTATTTTGGGTATTTCTATATAAACCCTTTCTTATCATTGTAATCCTTTAAGCAGAAATATTCAATAAAGATTTTCTCTTCATCCTTGTCTTATTAAGACTTTTACACGGTAATGCGGTATGTCGTGTAGGTTAAATTTCCACTTTCATATTCTACGTCATTTTTTGTCTTCCATGGGTCACTCCGGAATGTTGGCACACCTTTCTTCCGAATGAAACTTTGCGCGAGCTCATGACGTTCAACTCCGTATGTGTATTCCCCGGGAGAAGGATCACTAAGGCTTCTCCAAGATTTCAAAACTCTGTTTATGTTTGATTTGGCATCCCAGCCAAATTTCATACCGGTAAAACATCTGTCGGAAAATCAAAGCTCTGCCACAAAACTCTAGCAGAGTCGTCGTTGTTGATGTATCTCAATACAAAGTTTCCGCTGTCGAGAAGCTCTCCAGTCACTAGCGATTTCATGAGATTTGTGCTGGTCACATTGGTCCACCAGACACGGGTACCGTGTTGATCAAGGAGGACGAGGTTGTTATCCAAGATTTCGAGGGTTCCGTTGGGCTTGGAGAGTGGGCTGTCTCTATTCGCAACCCATACCACTTCCTGAGGAAACATATGGTGCCATACGCCGAGATACCAATGCAAAGTTGAGGACAAGATGTTTCTTCGAGTAGATATCTTAAACGGCTCTGTCGAAAAAAGTTTCGATTCATATTTAGAAGAAAGCTGAAGAACTAAGACGAAGAGAAAAAGTACCCTCATCCTCTCTTTCAATTCATAATTTTTTTTTTTTTTTTGTTAAGACGAAGAGAAAAGTTTCGATTCATATTTCACATGTTATACTCTGTAGACTGTAGACAAAAGTTCAGTCGACAATCAAATTTGAATTTCCACATTGCTTGACTTTTCAACTTGAGTAAATTAATTTCAACATATATAAATGATACTCCGTAAAACTACATGTGAAATTAATTTCTCCGGGGCAGAACATAACATATGATCCCAAAATATTCATGACCCGTGTCCAAATACATATGCTATGTTTATTAAAAGATTTGAGTTTTCATGTACTAACCGGACTGCTTGCGTTCTTCTTGGTCTTCCGATGGAGAAAAATTTATTTGCTTCTTTAGTTATTAATTTATAGATCAGAGAATGAAATAGGAAGCATGTGATCATGTATTTGCTTGCCATGAAGTTAAATCAGAAACCAAAAAACAGAGGAAGAGCTTTTAAGACAGACACTAAGCAACAAGTTCCTGACTTTTGTAGTAGATACTCTATATATTGCCATATTGGTATAGTTATAAAATGTGGCTTAAACTCTATCCTACTACCAAGGATTAATCACAATGGAGAGAAGATACCAAGCAAAAGTAAAATCAATAAATGCCTACAAACTATGGCTACAACAAAAGGTAATAGGAGAAGTAAACTCACTGAGTTAAGTAAACTCCTAACTACTGCAGAGTAACCAAAAATAATTCATTTTGAACCTAAGTAAATTATAGTTCGAGCTCAGGTCGTCTTCTTTGGCTTCGCCTTCTAATGAAGATGAAGATAAAGATGAAAGGAGTAAATACACCCTCAAATAAGCAGTCCAACTACTTTAATTAAATTGGCCTTCTTAGTTTTGACATTAACTTGTTCCATGGAAGATTTTGCATTTTCTTTTTGTCCTTTGGTGTTGCTAAAGTTCACTCACATCTCTTATCTCTAAATAGGCTACACTGATAATTTGATACACAGAAAAATAATCTAAAACTCAAAATCCAGAGTCAATACCTCTAGTTTCAACCTTTGAGTTCTGGTTTTTCGTTTTAAATGTTAAAGATGTATATAAATTTGTTTTGAACAAAATTAGAATGGCCTTACAAAAACAAAAACTTTTTTAGTGAATTAGAAACGCAATTACTCTCTACAAGTCAAAAGGAAAAAAATTGATTAGAAATTAAAAAAAAAAGCCAAAAATATAAAAAATACGAGGTCATTAACTTCCTTTTCTTTCTCCTAATTTTTAGTGTTTTATAAACACTGTTTATGGAATACCTTGTATTTTCTTCTAAAAAAAGAAACAAAATTTCTTTATATAGAAGAATTAAATGTTTCACTAAATTCATTCACCATTTCATCTAATTCATAAGCAGAAAACAAAACCTAAAAAGAAAACAAAGAACAATGGCTAGCCGTGTAAATGGTGTCGTGTTCGTCGTCAGTTTAATGATTGTTTTATTAATTTCGACAGGTAAAGTTTATTATAAACAATCATTTCATCTAAGCCATAATTATTGTATAATTGTTTACAAAATACTTTAGAAGTGAAGTATATAAAAATTAGTAATTACAATTTCTTTCATTTTATGATTAATAATTTTGCTGTATAATTTTGTTTTTATATTTTTAACAGATTTTTCCTTCTTTTTTTAAAAAAAATTCTGTATCTTTTTAACATAATTTTCCTTTTTTATAATTATTAATTTTATATATATTATATTTTCTTACACATGCCAAAATATTCAATCATCTTATTATCAAGTGTTGCGATCATGTTAATTACCAACTTTGAAGGATCAAACATTATATAATAAGATTTGCTCAAATAGTTTCATAAGTTTTGGCATTTTAAATTAAAATATTATATTATTTTAAATGATAAATATAAATAAAATTGAAAATTTAAATATTTATTTGACATATACATTTACATTTTGCAAACATATATCATAAGAGCATTGAAGTGTTTTGTTAAAAACAAAACAACTTTTCGAACAAGCCCTTTAAACATGACATCACAAATCTATAACCTAATTTCTTAAACTATCCCGTCCAAGTCATGTGTTTTTTCTACAATAAAAAGTTTGTTTTTATTAAGATCTAATCAATAAAACTAAATTATACATCTTAATTAAATTGATTTAAATACTTCTTACGTTATCAGGAATACAAAATGGATATGCTGAAAGAGTGACAGCTTATTGTGAGAAAATACGAAGCAAGACAGCACCATGTCAAGAAACCTTCAATTGTATAAATCTGATTTCTTAAGGTTTAAGGTACAACATGTTTAGCTTATATATAGGTTACAACTTGCGTATAAAGCTAACCTAATCAGATACTAAACCGACTTAGCCCATTAGGCCCAATACCCCCTCTCAAGGTGGAGTGTGGAGGTTACAAACACCCAGCTTGACAAGGAAATCTTCAAATTGCTTACGTCCCAATGCCTTCGTCATAATGTCTGCTAACTGACTTGTCGTGGAGACATGAGTTGTAGCTATAACACCACGTTTAATCTCATCCCGTACGAAATGAACATCGCGACCAACATGTTTCGTTCGAGCATGAAACACGGGATTAGCGGCTAACATAATCGCAGACAAACTATCGGAGTGAAGAGTAATAGGTGCAGGAACCTCAATACCAAGAGTCGGCAGTAGCTCACGAAGCCATAAAAGTTCACTTACGGTATCGGCCATGGCACGATATTCAGCTTCGGCCGAAGAACGAGAGACAACATCTTGCTTTTTAGTTTTCCAAGACAATGGTGAGTCACCAAGTTGAACAAAATATCCAGTGAGAGAACGTTGAGTGAGTGGACAAGAGCCGTGATCCGAATCACACCAAGCAGTTAATGTCAAAGGTGTGTTGGCGCGAAGTAGAATACCTTGACCAGGACTGTTCTTTAAATATCGTATCACACGAAGAGCGGCATTCCAATGAGCATTCTTGGGAGCGTTCATAAATTGTGACAAAATATGAATGGCATATGAGAGTTCGGGTCTCGTATTACCTAAGTAAATGAGACGGCCAACAAGACGACGATAGCGTGTAGGATCCGAAAAATCACCATCATTAGCAAGAGCAAGCTTGTGATTTTGCTCCAAGGGAAACGTTACAGGCTTGACTCCCATAAGGCCGGTTTCAGCAATAATCTCAAGAGCGTACTTGCGTTGACATAGATAAATGCCGGCGGGACTGCGAGCTACCTCAATGCCCAAAAAATAACGCAATATGCCTAAATTTTTCATACGAAAACAAGAACTCAAGTAGTGTTTGAACTCATTAACGAGATGAATGGAGCTGCCTGTGATGATAAGATCGTCGACATAAACTAGCACATGAAGCCGAGAATTGTCGTTGGCATAAATGAATAAAGAGTAGTCGGAGGTGTCCTGTTGAAAACCGTAATCTTTCATAGCGGAGCCAAGTTTTGCAAACCAACACCGAGGTGCCTGTTTTAATCCATATAACGATTTGCGAAGACGACAGACTTTAGTGTTATCATCTGTACGAAATCCAGGAGGAAATTTCATGTAGACTTCCTCTTCGAGATCACCATGAAGGAACGCATTATAGACATCCATTTGGTGAACTTCCCAATCAAGAGACGCAGCTTGTTGAAGAAATGTTCGAACAGTGATCATCTTAGCAACCGGAGCAAACGTCTCAGAATAATCGATTCCTTCCTTTTGATTATTTCCAAGAACCACGAGCCGAGCTTTATGACGTTCAAGTGTACCGTCGGCATTGTATTTAAGACGGAACACCCATTTGCATCCAATGGGTTTCTTATCTTGTGGGAGATCTTCAACAGTCCATGTTCCATTGTCCTCTAAAGCTTCTATTTCATCTTTCACTGCCAATCTCCAATTCTCATCTAAAATAGCCTCTTGGTAGTTAGTTGGCTCAACTCCTGAAGTAATAGCAAAAAGGAAAGCTTGGTATGTTTCTGAAAATTGTGAGCTGGAGACATAGTTATCAATGGGATATGGTGTCACGGACGGCGACGGGTTGTGAAGCAGAGATGTAACGTAGTCAGCAAGTCTCACGGGAGGGACTTTCTTTCGAAATCCAAACCCGAGTTTTTCTGGTTCAGGAGTAATATCATCGGCGGTAGTGGAAATGTCCGATGACGGTGGTGAGATTAATTCAACAGCATTATCAATCTCGTGAGGAGTGGTGATCACAGATTTGTCAATGCCAGCAGCAGGAGCTGAAGAAACAGAGTCGGGTCTGTTTGAGTTTGAGTTTGACGACGGATTCTCGGTTTGAGTTTCAGTGCGGGTCTGTTCTGAGACTGAAATTGCAGGCGATGACGCAGGTGAGTTAATAGGAGATGGTGAAACAGGGCTGATAAGATCAGAACTGTCCGGCTCTGTGAATATATCGTTGACGGAAGTATTGAGCTGAGGAGTCGAAGACTGGATTGTTTTTGTAGCAAAAGGAAACTCTGATTCACAAAATACAACATCACGTGAGACTGTAACTTTGCCGGTTTCAAGATTGTAAACACGCCAACCCTTTTTGCCAAAAGGATATCCCACAAAAATTGCTTTGTTGCTTCTAGTGGCAAACTTATCTCCTCCATGTCTTTGATTATGGACATAGCATAAACACCCGAACACTCGCATATGATTCATTGGCGGTGGTCGATTGTAGATGAGTTCAAAAGGAGTTTTGCCACCAAGAAGTTGAGTTGGTGTACGGTTAATGAGGTAACCGGCTGTCAAAGCACAATAACTCCAAAATTCTGTGGGAAGGCTAGCGTGAAAAAGGAGAGCACGAGCTACATTTAAAATATGACGATGTTTTCTTTCGACGCGTCCGTTTTGCTGAGGTGTGCCAACACAAGATGTCTCATGAAGAATCCCATTTTGAGCAAAAAAATCTTTTAAGCAAATAAACTCGGACCCATTGTCGCTACGAATTTTCTTTACTTGAGTTGAAAATTGACGTTCGACGAGAGCAAGAAAGTTCTTAAGTTGTGTCGGTGCTTCTTGTTTCGAAGGAAGCAAATATATCCAGACTGCTCGTGAATAATCATCAAGTATCGTAAGAAAATATCTAGAACCACAAATAGAGGAGGTGTGATATGGTCCCCAAAGATCACAGTGAATCAGTTCAAAAGCAACGGTTGTCTTATTATAACTCAAAGGAAAAGACTCTCTTGTCTGTTTAGCGCGTATACAAATGTCACACGCCTTGGAATCAAACTTAGTACTAAAATCCAAAAACTTTAACATATCTAAAGCTTTAGAAGAGGGATGTCCGAGACGAGAATGCCAAACTTCAACGGATGATGAGTCCACTGAATGAGCAGCTGCAGCAACTTCCACTCCTCTTAGAAAATAAAGTCCATTCTGTTGTTCACCCGCACCAATCAGGGTCTTGGTGATGCGATCCTGAATAATACACAGCTTGTCAGTAATCTGAAATACGCAGCTGCGTTCTCTAGTCAACTGTGAGACGGAAATAAGATGACACTTCAATCCATCAACAAAAAACACATCTTGAAGACCCAAAGCAGAACTAAGAGACACTGAACCGCATTTTGTAGCTGTTGTAAACCGACCATCCGGCAGCTTAATAAGAACCGGAGGCATGATGCGGACATCGTGTAGAAAATTAAGTGTCCCTGTCATATGATTAGAAGCACCCGTATCTATAATCCATGACTCAAGAAAATACTTACCGGAGGGAGTATCATCCGGCGGAGAGTTACGTTTTGCAAGAGCGTTGACGACAGAATTCCACTCTTCATTGCTGAGACCAATTATACCAACACGATCCGCAGAGGTTAGAGAAGGAGTCTTTGTTGCGATGGCAGTGTTTAGCAAAGCTGTGGAAACATGATTGGCTTGAGCAGAAGTTGAACCCTTGCCCATCATCGATCCCACAGATGTTGTTGTTCTTCCTTGACTCATACCACTAGAATTTGAATTTCCTTTGGCAGCTTGATTTCCTGATTTATTTCGAAAATTCGAATTCTGTTTTGTGTTCTCGCCCCACCACTCAGGATAGCCTATTTTCCGAAAGCAGTTATCAGCTATGTGACCGGTGCGACCACATATTGTGCACGAAACAGAGCTGCCTCTGTTTTCAAAAAATTTTCGAGCCACATTTGTTTGAACTACAAAGCTGACGCCGTCTTCCCTTACATCATTGTCACGACTCAGATTTTTGGATTCCTCATCAAGACACAATGCATTGTATGCTTCCTCAAGACTAGGCAGAGGCACCCGAGAAAGCAAATTTGATTTCACTGAACCGTACAAAGCATCGTCAAGTCCCATGAGAAATTGGTGCAACTTGTCTTCCTCACGCTCCTTCCTCACTTCTTCCATGGTTTTGGCTCTTTGATAATCAGCCAAGCTACCCCAAAGCTGCGTGAGCTTTCCATAATACGTTTCAATGGCTAGCCCCTTTTGTCTACAATTTGCTAATTCTGTTTTTAAACGTTGGACCCGTTGCCCATTTTTCACACCAAACCTCTTCTGGATATGTGTCCATAACTCGCTAGAATTGTGAATATGAGAGACGGAAGAGGAGAGAGTTTCTTCAATGGTTAAACGAATCCAAGAGATCACAAGCGCATTATTTGCGATCCAGTCTTCATAGTCGGCATCGTCTTCCGGAGGCTGAGGTATAGATCCATCGACGAAGCCAAATTTCTTCCTAGCTTTGAGTGCAAGCCGGAGATTGTTTGCCCACTCGTCATAATTTGGGCCACGCAGCAAAGGTTTTGAGATTAAAGTACCGGGATTATCATTGGAGGTTAAGTCATACGGTGATATTGTTCGCCGAGTTTCAACACGAGGCTGAGCCACCACTTCAGTCAAGGCAGAGGACGTGGAGGACGAAGTGGAGGATGATGTAGCCATCGTAGAAGAAGAAGAAGAAGCTTTCAACCGAGAGAATATTGAAAGTTAGGTCAAAAAATTAAAGAGATTTGAGATTAAAAATCAGAGTGATCTTGTAGCGGAATTTAGATCACAGAATCGAGCAAACAACCTTGTTGTAGTTAGGTTACTTGCTCTGATACCATGTCAAGAAACCTTCAATTGTATAAATCTGATTTCTTAAGGTTTAAGGTACAACATGTTTAGCTTATATATAAGTTACAACTTGCGTATAAAGCTAACCTAATCAGATACTAAACCGACTTAGCCCATTAGGCCCAATACACCACATGACATTTGTAAGAAAAAAAATGGCAATGCGGTGTGCAAAGAGACGTGTTTTACAGTAGAATCTTATAATAATGGAAGATGTCTAATACTTCCAAAGACGACAAAATTAGATTGCTACTGCTACCATTTCGACGATGGATCACCATGCCGAGTCTAAAACCCATAAGCCATGCAATAAATTAATATTTATAACTATTGTGTGTCTTTTTTTTTTTTAAGAAATCTTTTGCGTTTTCTTATATACATGTAATAAACTAGATATTAACCTATGGTACACCTCGGGTTTAAATTTTTACTAAATAAAAAAATTATTTTTTTTAGAATGATCTATAGATATATGGTACACCGCATGACGATATTTTATAACTAAAAACTCAAAATTTTAACTTGTATTTATTTTGTTTAGTGTTTAAGATTCTATAAGTGTATTTTGATTGTTGATTCTAAGATTTCACCGTAGTATACTATTTCTTATTAATATCGACCTAAATCCGTCCTACCATATAACTCCGTCCCGTGAAATTAAACATCATTTTGTATTTTTTTTTATAAAGTTCAAATATTTATAACATTTGAAACTTCATAAAAGTTTTAATATCGACCCAAACTTCATAACCATATTTTGATTGTTATATCTAGGATTTTACCCGTAGTATACCGTCTCGTATTAATATCTTTTATAAATTTTTATAATGTTTAAACTTCTTGTAAATTCTTATAAAATTAAAATATTTATAATATTTGAAACTTCATAAAAGTTTTAATATTATTAATATGTAAAACGTTTAATAAAGTTAGACTTTTTTAAAAGTTTAAATAATTATAATATTTAGTTTTTAATAAAGATTAAATATTTATTATATTTTGAAACTTTATAAAAGCTTCAATTCTTTACAATACATAACTGGAGTAAAATGGATAGCATTTTTAATTTTGGACACATGATAAATCAAGTTTCCTCCTCATTCGTATCCAGAATCATTTTAATCATTGTTATAGTATGACTCTGAACCATTGCCCAATTTTTTAAGCAATGTGGGACATTGTACACCTATTTAATTTTTTGCTTCATCGACACCTTTTAATTGTTAATTTTAGGATTTCACCCGTGTTATACCGTTTCGTTTTAATATCGACCCAAACCCGTCCCACCATATAACCTCATCCCGTGAAATTAAACATTATTTTGCTTTTTTCTTTTTAATAATAATTTTATTTAAATATTTCCTAAAGTATTTATTTGGCTTTTATATGACTAAGTATTTATACGAATAAGATACATGTTATTCGTATAAAAATACATGAGATACATGTAAATTACTATCTTAAAGTTCAAAATTAAGTAAGTTTTATTAGTGGGATAAAAATTATATTTATTACTTATATAGTTTATTATTTAATCTGAAAATACTAAAGTTTTCTTTATTATATAATTGTTTGATACTGCTATATAGTGTTATATATGTGTGTTATGAATGTGTTAAAATAAAAAGAGACAAACTTTAGGAAGACAAATTAAATTACTCTAATTGTCTACAAAATAGTCAAATAATGTCTCATGCTTTACTTTTTTTTTTTTGTCATCCGAAATTAATTAGAGCTCAAAAGAGTCATTCCTGAGGAATGTTGTTTACATATGTGATATGAAGCGGTTCTGTAGCCAGATTATCCGCTTTAGTATTAGCTCTACGAGAAATTAAAGATAAAGAGAAAAATGAAAACTCTTCCTTGTCGCTCTGAAATTCCTCCAAATACACTGAAAACACCGGCCATTCGGTTGGAGAAGACACCATCTTCACCAGGTCTGAACAGTCTGTAAAGAACGCTACCTCTTGATTATCTGCACCAATCATACACTTCATCGCCCAGAGAAGGGCCTCGACTTCGGCATGTAGTGGAGATAGACTTCTACGGAGGTTCGCAGCTCCCATGGTTGGTGGATCTCCATTTGACGATGTACAGAACCACCATGTACCGGAGAACTTATCACTTCCTTTCCATGATCCATCTACAAAACAACGATATCCGGAATAATTCGACTCAAGTGAAACATCCCTCACTCGAATTCGATTTACCAGATCCACAGAACCATGATTTTCGTTATGGAGGTCAACTTGAGCTGATTGCCACAATTGAGCCTCTTTTTCCGCTAATCGTAATACCTCTATGGGGTCTGTATCTATATTTTCAAAGATTTTTTCGTTCCTTGCTTTCCAAATATACCAAATAATCCATGGGAATGCTTATGAATCAAATTCCGAAGGTATTCTCCAGAATAAGTGATCCAAATTAGCAAAATTAGATTCCGTGGGAAAAATCCCCATAGCCGTAGGAATCTGTGAAAGCGCCCAAATATGTCGTGTCGGGTGGCACTGAAAGATTGTATGATTGATCGTTTCCTCTGGTGCGCCACATCTAGCACATCCTGTGTCACAATCAATTCTTCGTTTTCGCAAATTTTCCGTAACCGGTACACAACCTGCTAAGATTTGCCATAAGAAATGGCGTATCTTAGGTGGACACTGCACTTTCCAAGAATGTGCTTTTAACGGATTGATATCAGGGCCAAAAAAATTTAAATTTGTCTCCAACTTTTCTAACCGTGTGGTAGACTTACACGAACTATGACTCAACAGAGAATAAGAGCTTTAGGCCCGATTTGACTGTATATTGTCCGGATTTTGTAAAATGCCAACCCAAAGAATCTTCTTTTGTAGGCGCACCCACATGTATGGCGCTTATAAGCGCAACATCTTCTGGATCAAAGATCGCTTTTAAGAGATCAATATTCCAAAAGTTCGTCCGACTATCTATAAGGTCGTTAACTTTTAAAGATGGGTCAGCAACTGAGCCATTACTTTTTGCTAGTCTCGGGAATTGAGTTGGAATCCAGGGATCCTCCCAAACCGAGATGGATGTCCCAGATCCGACTCTTGTAATAAGTCCTTTATTAACCAGAGATCTAGCTGAACATATACTCCGCCATCCATATGATGGAGAATATGATTTTATGTTTTCCAAAGGATTGGATTTCCTAAAATACCGTCCTTTAAACACCTTTGCGAAAAGAGAATCTGGAACCGTGATCAACCGCCATAATTGTTTTGTTAGTAAAGCTGAATTAAAATCTTCAACATTCCGGAATCTTAGTCCCCCTTCCGATTTGCTATTCCACAATTTATTCCAAGCCATCCAGTGCATACCTCTAGAATCACCATTTGAGCTCCACCAAAAATTTGCAACCGCGCTAGTAAGTTTAGAAGTGATTGTTTTTGGTAATCTGAAGCATGACATAACATAAGTTGGTAATGCTGCAGCTACCGATTTAATCATCACTTCTTTTCCCCCTTTTGATAAAAATTTTGCCGACCACCCATTAATCCTTGTTTGTAGTCTCTCTCTGACAAAAGAGAAGATTTTTGTCTTAGATCCTCCTAAACTCTCCGGCAATCCAAGATAAGAACCCATACCACCGATATTAGTGATACCTAAGGTAGATTTGATTTATTCCTTAATATCATCATCTACCTTATGTCCAAACTGAATCGAGGATTTAAAAAAATTAATCTGCTGCCCTGAGACCGCTTCATACTTCTTTAAAATTCCCAAAATTACCTCACACTGGTCTTTGTTGGCCTTGCAAAAGAATAAGCTATCATCCGCGAATAATAGATGTGAAACCGGAGGGCATGCATTATTTGCTACTTTGATACCCGTAATTAATTTTTCCCGTTCAGCTTTCCGAATATTCGCAATTAGCACTTCTGTGCAAAGGATGAATAAATAAGGTGAGAGCGGGTCTCCTTGTCGTAAACCCCTCTCTGGTACTATTAGTTCTCTAGGTTGTCCATTAAGGAGAACTCTATATTGGACCGTTGTGATACACCACATTATCCATTTAATCCATTTTTCACAGAAACCCAATTTTCTTAAAACCTTCTCTATGAAAATCCATTCCACCCTATCATAAGCCTTACTCATATCCGTTTTAATTGCCATGAATTTTCCTTTACATGACGGGTTAGTTCTCAACCCATGGAACATCTCTTGTGCGATAAGAATATTATCTAAAATCAATCGTCCTTCTACAAAAGCCGATTGTGTTTCCGAAATCAATTTTGGTAGCACCGTCTTAAGTCTTTGGCAAAGAATCTTCGATATAATTTTATACCCAATATTTCATGCTTTACTTAAGAAAACAGAAAAACAAAACTCTGAAAAAGAAAAAAACAAATTTACGTTGAATCATTCCAATTGTTGAACGAATTTTAAGGACGTGTCTTTATGTATTGGGCCTTATTAGGCTTCACTTTTCTGTACTTTGTACTTTGGACTTTTATTTAAAAGTTTGACGAAAAACAGAAAATAAAACAAAAAATCCCTTTTGAGAATCTTCTCGTCTTCTTCAACCTTTCTTATACGTTTCTGATTTTGGAGTTTTTTATGTAATCAACCTACTTGCATGTGGATTAATCGATTGATTAAAGGGGATGAGTATCTAATTTGCATCGGATCGAAAGTGAGACGACACACAAACCATCATTCTAAATCTACTGTAGTTCTCGATGATGTTCTTCGTCGTGGCCAAGAGATTGAGTTCATGTCTCATGTTCATCCAATATCCATATTCCTCGATTTTCTATAAGAAATAGACTAGATTAAGGAATAGATTTATTACTGAGTAGAATCTTTAAAAAAAAATTGTTTTTTTAGTTTTACTGAGTTTTGTGTGTTATGAATTGAAATAGAGAATCCGTTAAAGTAAAATGGTGCATTCACGATGGGAAAAGGGGATTTTCATACCCGTACTATCTACACCGTGGATTTTTATACCTGGACAATTTCGTAGTGTATTTTACAACCTAAACTTCAATAAAATTTGAATTTCATACCTA